AAAAAAAATTTATATTATCCTTTTTTGGATATATCAAATAATGGATTATATAATATGTGATAATTCTTCTATTTTCTTAATCATTCTTCATCCGCCTCTAGGTTCAAATTCAAAATCTTCAATTTACCCTATGTTTGGATTAAGAGAAGAAGGGAGGGAAGGAGAATTATATTCTTTCATTCCCTCCCCACCCCTCCTTTCCTCTCATTTAGATAGGAAATTAAATTAAAAGAGAAAATAAAATAAAGAGAATTTTTTCCCTCCTCTCTCCTCTAATTTTTTAATAACTAAATAGAGAATTTTTTATCCTCTCATCTCCTTCAATCCTCTCACCTCAAACACACTATTAAAGTTTCAAGTTTTTAACCAATTAAAATACCCTTGAAAACTTAACAAACAAATTTTTTTTACGTATATGAAATAATTACAAGTTTTTTTTCTTTATTTAAAAACAATCCAATTCTTTCTTTGTTAAAAATAGAAATTAGTGTGTGATTTACACTTTTATATTATATTTTATTTATTATTATTATTATTCTAAAATTACAAATTTTAATAAATAAAAAATATAAAAAGAAAAAATGAATTTAATTGCTTTTAAACATTCCATTATTAGTCATCTAATATGAAACAATAACCATTAACAATTGTATAATCAAACAATTATATTAATCAAAATTTATTATTTATTATTTGTTACTCATTTTTTTGTTATCTATTATTCGTTAACGACCACTTAATAAGGTTGTTAATAAATTGAGTTAAGTTGAGTGTGTATGTTCTCATGCTTGTGCTTGCTTTAAAAATTTGAGTTTAAATATTTGTGTAGCTCAAAATAGTTGAGATAATAATCAAGTTCATGAGTATTCACGGAGTTTTGAGTTTACTCACAAATTCAGGCAAACGAGTGTTTTAACTTAAACTCGAGTTTTCTTTTTTTCTGTAATTTTAAAATGTTTCAATAATTAATTATTTAATTAAAAGTTTTTTTATATTTTTCAAAAATATTATAGTACCAAAAATGTAAACATATTAAGTCCAATAATAAAAACAATTATAAACTATGTGTGAATATTTTTATTAATTGTTATAATTCAAAATATATAATTTATTTATCTTTCCAACCTTATTAAATTTACAAGTTATATATATATAAATTTAATAAATAAATATATAATATAATTTTTAACTTTAAACAAAATGTTAGTAAGTTACAGTATTTATGAGTAATCATTGCAACTCAAAA